AATTAGGGCTTTAATCAATGTTCATTCATGATGCTAATAATAACCTTTCCACTTAAACCTGTAGAAGCATGAACAAGGTAGGAAAAAACACTGGGAGTCAGTTATGTTACATGCAGAAAATACATAAAGGATAAATAGGTACAGTGTTCCTGAAAGAGTGGGTAACAAGAGTAGAGTTGACTACTAATTCTGGTAATGTTCATCTTCCACTTCTTTCCGACTAATAGAACTCCTTTTTGTCCCCTGGGGCAGCAAATGCCCTATTAGAAAGTGACATTTACCTGGTTTCCTTGAAGCTTGGGGGGAGTCATGTAAAACAGCGCTGGCCAGCAAGATGGAATCTGCTAAGGTCTCCAGCAGAGGTTTGCTTTTCTGGCATAAATGAACCCTGCTCCTTCCCCTCTGCAGTTTCTCTCTTCTTTCTGCTCAGAGTGTGGGGCCGAGGCTGGTGCCCACAGGGGTGGAATCACACGCTAAGGAAGAGAGACTAAGTTCTCACTGATGGTGGGTGATACCTGCGCTCTGGGTTCTGGCTTCCAGTGGCATGGGAGAAATAGAAATTCACGGCGTACATCACTGCACTGTGTTTGTTGGTAGAACACAAATGGATGTGGAATCAGTATTCCTGGTTAGAATCTTTGGCTATGCAGTCTCAGATTTCTTGTCTACTAAACAGAGACGAGGATACTCATTTTTCATTATTGTTGCATCTCATTGAACCAGAACCAACTTCTGGCTGACCTTTTAGCAGTTTTTCAGTGGCTTTAAATGGCCTGGAAGGAGATTGCCCATCTTTTTCCCACAAGGCAGCTGGTGGATTCAAACCATGTGCCTTAGGATAGTCAGCATGACTTCTTTCCCCCAGGCCACCAACAAAGAATGCACCCCAAATACCTGTTACAGGACTTGGCATAGAGGGACCTTCAACACACGGCAGGAGTCAGAATCCTCACAACCTGCTCTTAGTCCCTGGGTCAATTTTTCTCCCCTATACATTCTAAGATTATGATAGAAAATAAAGTTTAATTAGGTCGTTGTTAAGCACCACTCAGTACAAGCCATTCTACCAGGTACACTGAGAAAAACAGCCAGTCCACAGCCTCTCAGGATCTCATTTTAAACAATGAAATATTGTAATGTAATTAGTATCAGAGGCAGACGTATCTGTCCTAGAAACCAGTAATATAATCACCACAGACAGCGTGTCTTTTGTAAGGCATTTCTCTATCCTTCATTCATGCTGTCTTCACAGGAGGCCAGAGTTTTGACCACAGTAGTGAGATGAAGCCAGGACAAGAATGCAGCACTTGTAAAAATTATTATTTTAATGAAAGTTTACAGAGATTTTGGATTTCTATTCATTCATTGTTGCACACTTTCCTCCCTGCCCACCCCTCCTCTCAGTTCGCTTTCTCTTTGAAAAGTAAAAAAATAAAAAATTATTTCACTGTTATACAAATCCCTACCCCCGCCCCAGTCCACTCCAAGGATGCAGCTTACATTCTGGACTCCTGTCAAGACAATAATACCTAATCATATATTCCTTCTAAACAGTTCTCTCCCTCATCTGTTTCAATGCAGTATATTTTATCCCCTCTTGGTTTTCCCCCAACTTTGATTTCAGTCTCATTTTACAACAGTGGCACTATGTCCTTTTGTGACTAAAATATTTCACTCAGCATAATGTCCTCCAGGGTCACCCATTTTGTATATTAATGAGTTCCTTGTTTTTCAATGCAGCATAGTATTCCATTGTGTGGATATACCACAGCTTCTCTATCCATTCCTTTGTTGATGGGCACTTGAGTTGTTTCCACCTCTTTGCTATGTGAACAAAGCCACGATAAACATGAGTGAGCATATATCTGCATGGGTGGCAGTTCTGGTTTCTTTAGGGTATATTTCCAGTGGTAGAATCGCTGGGTCAAATGGTACTTCTATTTGCAACTTTTTGAGAAAGCGCCATACTGCCTTCCATAGTGGTTGCACCATTTTACATTGCTAACACCAGTGAACAAGGAGAACCCAGCACTTTTGCCTCTTGAGTTCATGTCTTTCTGACAGACACAGTATGATCTTTTAGAGATTCACTGAATGACCCACCAAGAGCTGGACACACCCAGTGTTCATAGAGCCTGGCTCTATGGGGCATTGTAATGCCTTCCTCATAACCTTGGGGCTGTCTGCACTTGGGCAAAGGAGATCCCGAAGGCTTAGTGGTTCGAAGCCACCAGCCACTCTGCGAAAGAAAGATGGGCACTCTCCTCTAACATGATATATTGTCTCTGAAAGCCTGCTGGAGGGTCAGTTATATGTTGGTTCCAACTTAACCGCACATAACAGCAACTCTGCTTTGGGAAACAATATACCAGGTGATCAGACCTTCGCTTTCTGAAACAGGTCTAGGAGGGACCACACAGCCAGGCACTCGGCGTGCACAGCCTCATAATCAGATCTCAGGATATGACAGTATCAGCTGGCCCACCCGGTAGGTGGGATGGTGACACTTGACACCAGATCTGTAAGGTGGCATAGCATAGCGGTGAGTACTGTCCACGGGGCGGCCGGGGAAATCCATGGCTACCCAGGATGAACAGCTGCTGTTCACACAGCAGAAAACACACAAGGATGGCAATTTCCAGTTGAAAAGAGTGGACACGGGTCCTGGGCAGTTAGTTTTCTCCAGCCTCATGTGAGCAATCCTTAATGGACTTCAAATCACACCCAAAACACAAACATTCCTCAAATTTGCTTTCTTTAAATGTCAAAGTTAAGTTGGAAAGGCTGGTGGCTTAGTGGTAAGGCATCGTGCTGTCAATCCAAAGGTGAATGGTTCAAATCCACCAAATGCTTTTCAGGAGGAGGTTGGGCTATCTCCTCCCATGTGATTTGCAGCCGCTGAAAATCAGCTGGAGGCATCAGCTACGGGTCAGTTCCAACTCGACAGCACACAAAAACAATATCATCTTGGAAAGGATGAGGTATGTGTTTTCATGCCCTGAGGCTTGAGTGCAGTGGAAAGATGTGAATATACAGGCTTTGCCCCAGAACAACTAGGTTCAAACTTCTCCTTTGCTAGATACTTACACGTTTTTCAGCCAGACGGAAATATGGTGAAGATCCCAAACCTGATGTTCTGCCCCTCCACCCACAGAAGACTCATCCTTCTTCCTCCTAAATCAGCCATACACATTTCCCTCCAGACAACAAAAGTCACACACACATTCAGGTGAGCTCATTTCTTCAATAAAATACTGCCTTCAGGCACTTGCCAGAGAAATTTCCAACATGTCAGCAGAAGTCAATAAATCAAGGAATTTAACACAACCCCCTTTTTCTCTTTCTACTTAGAAAGTCACAAAGAACTAGGCCACATGTTTAGGTATTGCTCTGATGGTAAATGGGCTGTTTCTTGTTTCCTTTTATTCTAAAAATGAGACTTCTTTTTTATTATGTGTCTGAGTGTCACAGTTAGGCAAAAGAGATGTTATAGCGTTGGCTTAATCCTACATATTTGACCAAGATTACCGATAAAATGGTGATTGTGACACTGAGAGAAAACAGATATTTGGCTAGAATTCTAGCTAAAGTTCTATAGCATTTGCATGATATAAAAAGTGCTTTCTTTCATGAGTTCCCTCCCTCCCCTCCCAGCTAGACCATAGTGATGGTAACTGCAGCAATTTTTAATGATGATAAATATAATACCAAAAAAAAAAAATCACACCTCTCTTAAGTGCCTTTACACAGAACAGAAAGTGCCAATATTAGCAATGATACAATCACCGAAGTTAAAGCCAGGATAATCCTCAGACAGTATTCCTCAGTCTTCTGATCATTAATTACCTCAACCATTTGCAAAGCACAAGAGAACATCACAACCATGTGAAGGAAGATCTGGTCCACAGTCTCAAGCTCTTGGTAGAAGGAAACCAAATATGTAGGTAATTGCATATGAGATGGCTAACAAGAGTGCCTCTCCTTCATAGGTATCTCTGCAGTCACAGGGCACCCACACCTGTCCCTCTCCCTGCACCCCTGGCCCTCTGCCCAGCCTGTCACTTAACTACCTATTTTCAAATCAGATATAACAAGAGTACACTTCTGGATTCAGGTCAGGGTGAATAGAATTCTACATTGTAGCTTTGGAGAAATCATTTTCCAGTCACAAGGAACTTGTAATTTTAGCCCCAGAGGCAAAGAACTATCTAAACTGGTAATCTTACCAACCATACAGAATGCCACAAAAGCAATTAAGAAACTGCTTACTGACTTGGGCCATAAATACTGCATTTTGATGGTGACTATGGATTGTGTTATGTGGCAAAGAACCAAGTGAAAACTTCTATGTGGCCGAGGGATGCACGTGAGTGTGCATCTGCATGTGTGAGTGTGTGCAAGTGTGACAGGGTGTGTATCTGAATGTGTGTGTGTGTGTGTGTGTGTGTGTGTGTGAAAGAGCACACGCGTGTGTGTCTTTGAGGTCACCAACATGGCCTTTTGAGACTTTTACTATTTGCTTACTTTGAAATTCTTTGTAAACCTCTTGTGGTTAAACTGGGGTTTCAATTGTACTTGAACCAACTACATCACATCCATTTGAAGTCCTCTGGGAGAAAAGCTGGGCCCATTTTCTACAGAAAGTGATTTACAAAATGTATGAGATTATCACTTGACCCAGGGCAAGGTCTTACATAAACACATCCCAACTTGGTTTGTCCTAATTGAGATTTCCCATCAGTCTCAGTCCAATCCCAGACTCAACAGAAACTCTGGTCGACCGACTTCTTGTTTACATTCTTCTCTATTTCCACCCACTCTCCTTCCCCCTCACACACTTAGAATCTCCAGTTGAGAAGGTCATGTCTCAGTTTCACAACAGGAATTGGAAAACTATTAACGGAGAAGGAAGTAGGTGAAGCAGCTCACGAGGAACTCTCCACATGGCCAGACCCAGCGAGGCTGTGAGATTGCCACCACCCATGCCCTGAGCCACTTACCATGGTCATGGGCAAACACCAGCAGCCCCAGGCCTGTCAGCATCTGAGCCAGTTCCTCATAGCGGCCACAGTGCTCCCCGGCTCCATGGGAAACAAAGACCAGGGCCCTGGAAGAGGCGAGAAGGGGGTCTTGGTTAGGAAAGGGATGAGCCACTGAGATGACAGTCATTTTCATAACACCAGTACCAAGTTACCAACATAAATGTGGTCTATATGCTTGTTAAACAAGAGGGGCTCACTGTTACTAGACCTCTGGTTCATGAAGACCCTGGGTGGCGCAAATGACTAAATCAGTCAGCTGCTAACCCAAAGGCTGGCAGTTTGAGTCTACCCAGAGGGACCTAGGAAAAAAGGTCTGGCAAATTAAAAAAAATTATGCTCCACTGAAAACCTTCAGCAGCACAGTTCTGCTCTGACACATGCAGGGGCCACTATGAGTTGCTGACTTGATGGCAATGGGTTTCCGAGTGACAGATGGGAGATTCAATGCTAGCCCTGCCTGTGCAGGCTCAGGCAGAACACCCAGGCCCAGCAAGCTTCATTTCTTCACCCATAAAACAGTGATAGCAATCTCCCTCCTGGGTATCTGTGAGGATACCACAAGCACAGTTAGGAGCGCTGGATGAAAGATGACCAGCTTCCTCCACTGTGGCTGCCCAGAAAACCTGGGCTGAGCCAATCTGCATGGCCCAGTTCCTTGGCTGCAGGGACTGGGTCAGAGTGTGGCCAAGCTAACCAGCACATCAAACAGCCAAGAGAAGGCATCTGCATTTCCCCACCAGACATGTGCCCATGACTGTGGGGCTGGGAGGTTCCAGCAGTCCCGCCACCCTGTGGAAGCTGAGCTGATCCACACCACAGGGCCAGGTAAGGCCAGGAAATGGGGCACTACCAGTCCTGGTGTGTGCTGGATGGAGCCCTGTATTCTTCTGGGCCTGAATTCCACATTCTTCACCCTTTCTCTCTTTTTCTGGGCTGAGATCAGCTGGGGTTTCTGTCACATGCCACCAGAAGAATCCCAACTCACATACAGTTTTTTCCATTTTTGCATAAAATAATTTTACTTCTAGATTTATTCTCCCACAAGGTACTGGGATGTGTGTCTTCCTCCCCGCCAGCCCCCCACCCCCCACTTTCTCCATCTGGCAAATCCAACTCTTCCTTCAAGAACTAGAGGTAAGGTTTCTCTCCTTTGAGAAGATTTACCAGGCGTTAAAAAAAATCTATGAAAGTCTCTCCTTTCCTCTGGCCTTCTATACTTGATCAAACTCACTGTTGTCAAGTCCCTTCCTACTGACAGCAGTCCTCCCCATCGCGTTTCTGAGACTATAAATAGTAACGGCAGGAGATGTGCCAGTTTTCTTCTGTGGAAGAGCCAGTGGACTTGAACTGCTGGTGACTCATGGCCTTTTTGTTAACAGTGCAACATGCTACAGACCGTGCCACCACAGAGCCCTGGGCTTCTATACATTCTCACTGCTGTTGAGTTAGAACCGCCCCATAGCTGACCTGCAGGACACTGTTCCTCACACAGAAGGCTCTACATCACATAAGAGGAGACTGCCCATTTCCTCCCCTAGAAGCCTCTGGTGGATTTGAACCACCAGAGAAGCACTGCCTCTGGGTTAGCTGCCCAACTCTCTACAGACTACCAGAACGCTTGGGCTTCTACAGCTTGTAAATACTTCTGTAAGAGCAGGTGCTACTATTGCACTCTGCATCCCTCACTGAAGTCTAACCTTCTTGAGGGCAAGCAAAGACACTTCTTTTTGGCCCCCCGCCCCCCTGCTTCAGTGACTAGCACTGTTTTGATCTTCTGGTATACATACTTGTAAATGTTGTTTGAACAAAGAAAGAATGGAAGGATAAAGGGAGGCAAAAAGAAGGAAAGAAAGGATGGTAATTATATGGTTTTCAAACACAAAGAAATAGGGCAGAGGCCACACTAAGAGCTTCTTATGGCTCCTGACCCAGGAGCTTGGCCACTGTGGAAAGACGCCCACAGCAACTCATTCCACAGTGCATCGCTGCTTCTCCACTAGCCAAGTCCCCTTCTCCACTATGTCAGCCTAGCTGTGGTGGGGCCAATGAGAGGGCACTTAGATATTCAATCTTCAAAAGACTTGTATTCTTAGCAGTAGGATCTTGAGAGGTGGTGGGGGCATAGAGTCCCTTCAGGAAGGAGCAAATGCTGAAGGCTAGCCAGACTCTGCCAGAGGCCATGAGGAAGAGGAGGACAGCCATAGCCACTACTTTATTGAGCACTTACTATGTGAGCACTTCCTAATAACTTAAGATCTAACCCACACAGCAACCTCTATGATGGACTTGACTTTTGTATTTCAGGTCACAGTGAAACCAGAGAAGTTTTAGAAATGGTCCAAGTCACTCAGCAAGTTAGTGAAGGGTAGAAACTAGATGGTGCCCGGCAAGCACTGACGGCTCTGCAAGGGATCACATCAGAAGGCCTTAGACAGAGTGGGGTAACAATGTGGAACAAAACTCGAAATCAAAAGAGACCAGCTTTACTTGTCTGATAGACTGGGAGGAGTCATGAGACTATGACTTTTAGACACTCTTCAAGCCTAGACTTGAACTCATCCTTGTGGCTGCCTTTCCTGTGCTTCCCTCAGCTCCAGAGGAACACAGAGGACAACACAAAATTGTCCTCACTTTCATCCTTCCAGAAGGGAAAGAAAGGCTCCACTTCTAGAAGGGGTACCTCAGGGACTCTCAAAGTTGTGGGGGAGCATTGAGTCTGCTTTGCTAATGCAGCTACAATCATGGGGACTGAAGAGTGACAGATTGGGTCACACAGAAGCCAGCTGCTCTCCAAGGCCAGTGGCCTCACCCAAGAGGACATTTAAGATCCCAGATGATAGCACTGGGCATTGCTACTGTACCAGGTAGTGGCATGTGCACAGAAATGGCCTCACACTGTATGGAAGGTCTCACATTCCAACCCTCAGCTATGTGTTGCAGGCACCCAGAGCTTTGAAACATTGGACCTGCTTCCAGAAGATCTGATTTCATTGGCTCTGACAGAATCCTGGGTCCCTGGAGTTGGAAAAGCTCCCGTTATTCTCATCAGAAGCCAAAGGTGGGAGGCACTGTTCTGTCCCAAATCCAGAGAGGGCAACTGGCAAAGCTGCTCTGATGAGGGATAGTCATAGCAATTTAATCTCTTTTAATTAGTTTTTTTTTTAATTAGATTTTAATGAAAGTTCATAAAGAACTTGGGTTTACAATCATTCATTGTTGCACATTTTCTTCTCTGTCCCCTCTCCCCCCCCAAGTTGCTTTTATCTTTGAGAAAAAAGTTCTTTCATTGTTATACAGTTGCCCCCCCCCCAGACCACTTTACTATACGGCTCTTATTCTGGACTCTTGTCATGCCAACAATACCTCATTATATATTCCTCTATACAGTTCTCTCCCTCATCTGTTTCAATGTTGTGTAGATGATTTATCCCCTTTTCTTAGTTTCCCCAAAGCCCCCATGTCAGTCCTATTGTTATAACAGTGGCATTATGCCATATTTGTCTTTTTGTTATTGAGATATTCACTCAGCATAATGTCCTCCAGGGTCACCCATTTTATATAATAATTCATGAGTTTCTTGTTTTTCAATGCAGCATAGTAGTCCATTGCATGAATGTACCATAGCTTCTCTATCCATTCGTTTGTTGATGGACACTTGGGTTGTTTCCAACTCTTTGCTATTGTGAACAAAACAGCAATAAACATGGGTGTGCATATATCTGCTTGGGTGGCAGTTATGGTTTCTTTGGGGTATATTTCTAGTAGTGGAATTGCTGGGTCAAATGGTATCTCCATTTGCAACTTTTTGAGAAAGTGTCATACAGCCTTCCATAGTGGTTTCACCATTTTACACTCCCACTAACAGTGAATAAGGGTTCTAGTTTCTCCACACCTCACCAGCAGTTGTTGCTTGCTGTTCTGTTAAATTTTGCTATTCTAAATGGGGTGAGATGATATCTCATAGTTGTTTTGATTTGCATCTCTCTAAGAGCTAGGGATTTTGAACATTTCTTCATATGTTTGTTGGCCATCTGAATGTCTTCTTTGGTGAAGTGTCTGTTCATATCCTGTGCCCATTTTGCAATTGAGTTGTTGACCTTTATCTTATGGTGCTCAAGTACTTTATAAATTCTAGATAAATTCCCTTATCTGACATGTCATTACAAAATATTTTTTCCCAGTCTGTGGTTTCCCTTTTTACCCTATTGGAGAAGTTTTTAGATGTGCATAGCGATTTGATTCTTAGAAGGTCCCATTTATCTATTTTATCGTCTCCTGATTGTAGGTGGACAAAGTGATTCTGATGTGCCATCTTGCAGTCACACTGGTACTGTTTCTCTCCAGGGGAGGCTGGGATAAGCACAGATTACAGACATAAAGGATTGAGGAGCAAATGACATCATTCGTTTTGGAAGGATGCCCACCAGCAGTCTGCCTCCCTCTGCTGCTGCCACCTCTGCACAGGTGAGGCCACTTGGTCACCCTGAGGCTCAGACCCAGCACATATCCAGGCCAGGAGCTTTCAGCTCCACACCTGGACACCCAGCTTCATTCTGAGAATAAGCTTCTGAGGTACTGAGTGGGTTTCTCCTTGTTTCCCTATTCAGGAGCTTCGTGGACCCTACTTCTTCTGATGTGATTTCCCCTGGTCCCCTCTCCCTTGGAACCTATGAAATGGCAGGTTTTACAGACCACTGGGACTGCATTTCTGCTCTGAGAACAGTAATTGTGCATGGAGTGGGACAGTCAGGGCACAGAGCAAAGCCAAGCCAGACATTTGATCTGATTCCTTCTTGACCACATGTGACCTGGAAGTGTCCCAACAGTGCTGGGCTGCGGGACCCTGGTTGTCACCCAGCAAGGAAGCCACAGTCCTTAAAGGCAGTGGGGGCAGTGAATCTTGGCATCCCTCCACTGAGATGGTCTGGATAGAGCAACTCTGAGCTTCTTGCAGGTCATGTCCTGAGCACGGGATGACAAACCACATTTCCCTTGCTCTCCCACAGCATCCAGTCTCACGGGTAGATGATGGGCTTGTCTACTGTGAGAGGTGCACGCACACAGG